GACCTGTTTACCCTTTTGCCCATTGCTGGCTCATTTCTCTATGAACAGTCAATTCCAGAGTCACTTCTGGTTCTCATAAACTGCTGCAAATGAAATGGCTGGAAGTCACTTTCCTCCTCTCTCACTAAACTTCTAATCAATCACATGTTCAAAGAGGCGTTCCACGGTCTATAGTTCAATCATAGAACATGGGCGCTCAGCAACTCACACTTCAGTAGCTCTGCAAAGTCCTTCAACAATAAAGAGCTATCTGGTAGCTGTAATTATTTGTTTATTCATGATTCAATTCTAACCATTTATTGACTCTTATTATCCTTTATTATCAGCTTTATCCAACTCTGGGTATATGGAATACATCAGAGAAATGACAGGATAAGTGTGTTAATTATTACTTATTTGATCTGTTACTGTCTTTTATAATCGTGGACTGTCAACAATAGTACAACTTTAATATGAATCTATGATATCCATGAAAACCCTCCTTCATGTATGTGTTAGTTAAGAGGACATAGAATGAGAAGCGAAATATTAATTGATTTGGTGACTTTGAGCTGCTGGCTTATAACCTATTTGAGATCTATTTCAGTGAAGAGAGGAAAAGTCAGAAAATGGAAACAGAAAATTGAACCGAATTTGGAGAAGTATATTACCATGAAAGACAAGAAGAAACAATATGTCAGGAAAAGTAGATTATGGGCCGATTGATAATTTTATTTTATTTAGTCTTAGATCATCCCCATTTTACTTGAATACTTTAGCCCTGGCTCACTGTGCTTCCTCAAACCACTGCTTTTTATAATTTTTCATAAATGACATTGTACATTGAATATTTCTGCATACTCACATTCCCTGATCCACTCTCACTTCTCCAATGATCTCAGCTATTCACTGCTTGCCATATTTCTTAAATGTGCGTACTTTTGAAAATAAGCTGCCATTGCCTGACAGAATCTGAAAAGCATCCTGACACAATTAAAATGGTGTGTTTTAGGTACTAAGTTTTTACATGGTTGTGCTTGCAGCAGTGGTTCCTAAACACTGGGGAGGTCATGCTCCCCTAATTCCCCAGAACGCAGTGCAGACAGTGGAGATGATATGCCAGTAAGAGGCAAGGATGAGGGAGACAGGAGCCAGGAGGATTACCACACCCATTGCAAAGATGGCCATCTCTGTGCTGTAAGTGTCTGCTGAAGCCAGCTTCAGAAGGGCAGGGAGTTCACAAAAGTAGTGATTGATTATGTTCTGTCCCCGATAGGGAAGATGGAAAGCAAAGGTGGTATCTACCAGAGACACTAGTGTCCCACTAGCCCAGGACCCTATGGCCAACTTGAGACACACCTGCTGGGTCATGATGGTGGAGTAGTGCAGGGGCTTGCAGACAGCCACATACCGGTCATAGGACATCACTGCCAGCAGAGCACACTCTGTACACCCAACCAGAAGGGAGACAATTACCTGTGTCATACATGCAAAAAAAGAAATATTTTTCCTCTTTACCAAAAAGTGAACCAACACTTGAGGAACAATGCTAGTAGAGAAACAGAGATCTGCAAAAGAGAGGTTTCTAAGAAAAAAGTACATGGGAGTGTGAAGTCTAGAATCCATGAAGATGAGAATGATGATGAGCAGATTTCCAAGCACAGTCAGCAGATAAATGAGGAGGAAAAGAATAAATAGCAGGATCTGGGTGTGCAGGTCTTGTGAAAGGCCCAGGAGGATAAACTCAGCCACAAAGCTTTGGTTTTCTTCTCCCATTCAGATTTATGCCTGTTGACCTGTTTGGCTCAAGCAAAAAGAACAAACTTTTATTGGGTTTATGACATTAAGTCCTGTAGAAGAGGCACATGTTAGAATTGCAACCAAATTGGATATTTCTAGCTCTTTGATATCCAACATGTTCTAATTGACAATGAATGGATATTTTTATTCTTGTCACTTAGTTGTAGTATAAATCAACTTTAATTTTTTTTCTAAAATAAAAACACAAAAGCCCCTCTCCCCAATACCACTTTGTTATAGATAGGGTATAATATTGTTAAAGTTTTTTCTGGCTAATTCTGATATAAGGATGTTAGAATTAATGTGAATTTTACTAACTGGCTATAAGCATATTGTTAGGAAATAAATGTGTATATAGTTATTACAACTCTCCCCATGTAGAAAACTGTACCATTAACTGTTCAAAATACTATATATTTAATTATAACATGTACTTCAGAAGCATGAAACTGTTTTTAGGCATCAAACTTAATTTGACCTCTTTTAAAAACTTTGCTGTACTTAAAAATAAGTCCTTCGAATATCGACATTAAAGACCATTTCACTTGGACTAATCAACCAAATATTAAAATTAAAAAACAAAGAAAGAAAAAATAAGTTAAAATTGTTGTGATATCTGGTCATATAAGACTAGACTTTAAAAGCACAAAAGCCTTCTAAGAAACTATGAAAGGAAATATGTGTAGAGTTTACAACATAAATTGAAAGACTTCCCTGTGAGACAATGTCATAAGCAATTTTAGAAGATAAATCAGAAACTGAGGAAAATATTTGAGGAGGATGCCAGAGAAAAGGTTAATAACTTTATTACCTAGAATTCATATAAAACACTATGAAACATATGCTAAGTGAAATAACACATGAAATAACACTATGAAAATTGTTAGGTCAATAAATAATAAGCCAAGAACATGAACAGACTACAAAGAAGAAATGGAAATAGTTACTGAATGTAAGAAAAACATTCATTATAATTCTAACTAAGTACAATTCCAAAACTGAGAAATAAATTTTCTCCTGGTCAATCTAAGATCTTAACAGCAAAAAACATAACAAAAACTACTGTTTGTTTTTTTTTTAGCATTTCACACATAAGAAGTATAACTATAAAAGTTTTAAATGATTATAACCTAAGTGGCTATCAACAGATGAATGGATAAAGAAAATTTTGTGTATATACACAATAGAATAATATTTGGCCTTAAAAAAGAATGAAATTCTGTCATGTGCAGCAACATGGATGGAACTGGAGGTCATTATGTTAAGTGAAATCAGCCAAGTAAAGAAATACAAATATTGCATATCCTCACTCATATGTGGGAGCTAAACAGCTTAATCTCATGGAGGTAGAGAGTAGAATGATCTACCAGAGACTGAGCAGGGTGTGTCTGTGTGTGGGGATGGTAATGAATAAAATTTGGTTAATGGGTACACACATACAGGTACATAGAAGGAACAAGTTCTAATGTTCAATAGCAGAGTAGGATGACTATAGTTAACAGCAACGTATTGTATATATTCGTATATACAATACAACGTATTCAAAATAGCTAGAAGGGAGGACTTGAAATATTCCCAACACAAAGAAATGATAAATACTTAAAGTGATGGATATCCTAAATACCCAAAAAGACTGTTGTGTAGGAGTGCGAATGGCAAAGTTGATCTCCCCCAACATCGTGCCCACCTCCAACCCCCTCCACCAGTATTGCAGAATGCTGCAGACTGAGGCTTATCAGCAGGTTCTCCTCTCTCACCTGAGGGTAGAGGCAAAGCAGGATCCCTCCAATGTGGGATCACTGGTCAAGGAGAGAGGGAGTGATTTCCGTAGTCTGCAGATCCACATCTGAAGGAAAGCACCCATCTGTAGCTTGCCTCCTGAGCATTTCCTCCCAAGGCTGCACCAGAGTCATCCTAGGAGTTTGACTTCATCTCAAGCCTTTCTGCTTTACTTGACTCAATATACAAACTCCAGTTCTCCTAGGTCCCCCTTCTGAACAGAGTATTTTCCTTTGAGACAAGATTTAAAGGTGAGGTCCTGAGAGTTATGCAAACGGGGCATTCCCGGGAGCTTTAAGAGCCCTCAACTTTATTACCTTTTCCATCCTCTGAGACACCCTGGGACAATTTGTGTTATATTTGAAATCACAGACTAAAGTTTCTACATTATACTCACCCTTCTTTCGTATCTTACATCAATGTCATTCAAAATGACACCAACGGGTATAGTCTTAGAGGTTAGCAAGTTATCAACATTGTGTCTTTGTTTATATGGCAATTAAATAGGAATGAAAATGAGCAGATATCAGATCATCTAGATGCTGACTTTCTAATCAAGTAATGCATCTTGATTTTTTCCCCCAAATGCTCACTTACAACCATTTATGGGAAAATTTCACATCAATTTGAAATATGTTTTACATGAGATGCTAAACTCCTGCTGGATTCAGTCTATTTTTGTACTCTTTAGTCTGTTCCTTTTCTGACTTTATACTTCCAAACAAGTAGCATGCAATCTTAATTTCTCCTGTTTGTTGTTGTTTTATTATTTGTTTGATTTTCAGGTGCAAAAAGTAGAGTTAATCATATTCCTCAGTATATTACATATTACTATAAAGATTTCAAAGTCTCCTTGTTTATTTATTTATGTATTTATTATGTATTTTATTTATTGCCATAAACTTTTGACTATTTTCTAGAGTTCAGATAAAGTTTATTCTGATAGTATTTTTCTTTTTTTTTTATATTTCTTTTGAAGGATGACCCACTGGAGTCCCCTATTTCACCATTTTCAGTGTTAAAAATAAGTTTTGACAGAGTTTCGACTATTTTAGTAATCTTTGCAAAGAACCAGTTTTAGATTTTGATAACCTTATTTACATTTGTTGTCTATTTGCTTGATTTCTTCTTTTATCTTTATTATTTCCCTGTGTGTGCCTTTGGATATGCTCTGCTATCCCTTCCCTCTCTACCTCCAGCCCCCAGCAATTTAAATTCAATGCTTAACTCCATTTTTTCTCTTTTATCTTCTTCCTTGTCTTTTTCTTCTTCTCCTCCTCCTCCTCTTCTTCCTTCTTCTCCTTCTATTTATCCTCCTCCTTCTAGTCTTTCATTTTTAATGAGGTATTACATACAGTAATATGCACCAATCTTAAGTATAGCTCAATACATTTTTACACATGTATATACTTGTGTAAATGTTATATAGATTCGAATGTAGAACATTCACAGCACATCAAAAGGCTCCCAGAAAACTACAAGTCATCATTTCCTCAAAAGTAACCATTATTTGGAATTCTAAAAGCATAAATTAGTTTTACCTGTTCTTGAGCTTCAAATAAATGAAATCATACAGTATGCACTTTTTTGTGTGTCTGGCTTCTTTACTAAACATCATTTATTTTATAGCATTCCACTGCATGACTGTATCACAATTTATTCTTTCTATTGTCCATGGAAATTTATATTGTTTCCAATTTGGGCTATAATTAATAAAGCTGATATAAACATCCTATTATATGTCTTTCGTTGGATATAAACATTGGTCTCTATTGAGTATATACTGAGGAGTGGAAGTACTGGATCATAGGGAAGTGACATATGATTAGCTTAGTATGCAAAGATACATCCAAATGGACTTTTTGAATTGACTGATTTGTGCTATCATAAGCAATGCAAATTGCTCCACACTCTCAGTCATTTTATGCATTTTGATTAAGGTTAGTGGCATTTTGCTGTGGTTTTAATTTATATACCCTGGTGGCTAATTATCTTGTGTAACTTTGTAGTGCTTATTAGCTATTTGTGTTTCCTATATTGAAAGTGTTCAAGTATTCTGACGTTTTTAAAAACCAGAATTATTTTTACTTTTTCTGTTAATTTTAGGAAGTTCTTTATATTCTGGGCATCATGTCTATAGCTTAGTGTCTAATTATTAAAATAATATGTATATAAATAGAGACAAGTGATAGGGAAATTTGGTACATTGTTAATAATTAGAGAATCTTGGTAAGGGAGGTATGAGAGTTCTTTATACTATTCTTTCAATTATTTTAAACCCTAAAATTATTTCAAAATATGAAAATACAAAATAACAAAGTTTACTAAACATAAAATTTACATATATTTTGATGAATTTCTCTTAGTAAATTTTAAAACAAATTGACAGAAAAATCAATAAAGAAATGAAGATTGTTACCACACAATTAACTAACTTTACCAACTAGAATATTCTGCCCAGTTAGTTTTGTGATAGCTGGTTCCTGTTCAGTTGGCTCTCTCTCTTTGGGTAGTCATTCAGGAGCCACAACTGCCAGAAGCTTCTGCCAGAAGCTCTCTTGTTTTCAGACCCTAATCTTCACTCCCCACCCATGCACAACCCAGCTTGAAGTATTCTTAGTCGTGTGTGTGTGTGTGTGTGTGTGTGTGTGTGTGTGTGTGTCTTTGCAGTGGATTTGTGCTTGGTTCTTCAGCTTCTCATCTGGGTAGTTTAGGTTTCTGAAAATGTATAATAGATTTCCTAAGCAATATCGAACATATGACATCTGCCAAAACTCCGATACTTGTCCATAATCTTAATCCCCTGGTCTTGATCATGATAATTAGGGTAGTGTTTATTGAGCTCTTCTCATGTGAAGACATTATGTTAATGACGTTCATCTAATTACTACTATCTGAGACACATTCACATTCTACAAATGATGAACATTCTCAAAATCACACAGAGAATATGCGGTTGACTCAAGCTGCAACCTGGTATTTTTTCCTACAAAAAACAAATACCGAGTTTTCTCCACACATTCTTCCCCAGAGGGAAGACCTGAAAGTAGAGCTAGTGATGGGGCCAGTAAATGGAGATATGAGTGCTAACTACATGTTATTTTCTATCTTCCTTGTAACAGTTTGGGGCCTTCTGATGGGAAACGCAGCTCAGGATCCACCCTAATGGCTCAGAATTCTCCTGAGCACTTCAGCCT